CTCTCTTGGCCAGAAGCTTGCTATGAGTCAGAGACGACTCGACAGCACATAACCACAAAGCCTCCTAAATGTGAAAAAATAAATTTCTATTTGATAAAGTCAAAAACAAACAATCCTCACAACTGGACCAATAACACCATCACAGTAAATGGAGAAAAGGTTGAAGTTGTCAGGGATTTCATTTTATTTGGATTCACAATCAGTACCCATGGAAGTAGCAGTCAAGAAATTAGATTTACTGCATTGGGCAAATCTGCTGCAAAAAAACTCTTTAAAGTGTTAAAAGCCAAAGATGTCACTTTGAAGGCTAAGGTGCACCTGTCCCAAGCTGTGATACTTTCACCAATAAATAAGGAAGATGGAAGAATTGATGCCTTTGAATTGTGATGCTGATGAAGAATGCTGAAGATACCACGGGCTGCCTGAACAAACCGATCTGCCCTAGAGGAATTGCAGCCGGAAAGCTCCTTGGGAGTGAGAATGGCCAGACTTCGTCTTATCTACCTTGGCCATGTTATCAGAAGGGCCAGTCCTTGGAGAAGGGTATCGTGCTTGGTAAAGTAGAGGGTCACCCTGAAAGGGGAGGACCCTCAAGGAGAGGCAGTGACACAGTGGCTGCGATGGTGGGCTCGGGCACAGCAAGGATCGTGAGGACGGAGCAGGACCAGGCAGTGTTTCATTATAAGCCTAGATACATAAAGGTCTCTGGGTGGCCTTCTTTTTGGACCACCTGACATTTTTATAGTCTGCGTTTATCTGTACTGACCGAGCCTGACGGCCCCTTTGTTTTTGAGCCCCAGTCCTTGATTCGGGTAGGGCTTCACTATTTCTGTTTTTCTGTATAATGTTATGCTTCGAGCCTGGCCTGCCACATGACGTTACTTGAGTTGAAAACATGACATTAACAAAGCATTTGTTTTCCAACAATTTAATCTTGATGGATTCATCCAGAAAAATAAAGAAGGTACTGTTTGTTGACCATCTTGTGTTTTCCAGACACTCTGGTTGTTGTTGTTGTT